CTTCTTTGATATCGCTGCTTTTGGCCGCGATCGTTAAAACTTCGCCTGCCTCGACCACGATGCATCTTCGATGAAATTAACCTAACTAATTTCAAAATTTCTCTCCGTTGCACGTCGGCCCGGGTTGAATTTTTGTCGATGCGTAACGAAAATTTTCCGCTTTTGAAAAAAATAATCGTGGCTATTGTATCGTCCGAAATTATTTTTTTATTTTGCACAAACAACATACAGTTTAACCCGATTATAACGTCATCGAATGTAACAACCCTAATATAACGTCAAATTTTTATTGGTCCTACGATTTTACTATACTAGATAATGTTAAAAAAAACCCACTTGTAAAGACATAAAATCGTTTTAACGTCATATTTGAAGCACTCCCAAATTTACAAAATTAGATTACAAATTTTATTTAACATAGAAGAAACTACGTGTTCAGTCCTAAGGTCAGAGTTCACTTCTTAGAATGACTGTGGGTGGTACTCTCCCCCACCTGACTTCGGTGGGGTGAGGTGGCTGTTTTGCCTGTTTGTAGAAGAGGGTCGCCATTTTGTATTTTATTTTGACTCGGTTCTCTGTCCCCCGACTACCTACGAGTTTGGATTTTTTATGCGCAAATGATTTGGGCACCTAATGCTCTGTGCCAAATATCAACTCTCTACATGTACTCCTTCATACCTCAATACTTGGAGATGTGTGAATGAGGAAGGATTACTAGGCTGCAATCTCCATATAAACGAGAGAGAGAGAGGAAGGATTACTAAATAAAGCTGGAGTTGTGACTCAAAGAATTATAGACCTAAATTTGGGGAAAGGAGGGAAAGTTGAGAAAGGACAAAAGATAAAAAGTAGTGAAAAAGGTGAAATAGATCTGTTATGCAAATATTAGAGAGGTTGAGGCGCACGTTTTAAACGTGTAAACGTGTACGTGTGACGTTCAGCGCCGCTTTCCCGTAAGCCTAAAAGTTTGACGATGGTGTTTGGAATGTTGAGCGTGATTCCACCGACTATCCAAACACAATTGTCAAACTTTTAGGCTTACGGGAAAGCGGCGCCGAACGTCACACGTACACGTTTAAAACGTGCGCCTCAACCTCTCTATTGATCCTTAATTTTCCAACTTTTCTCACTTCTTTTCTTTTGTCCTTTCTCTCCTTGGAAGAAATACTAAATAAAACTGGAGTTGTGATCCAAAGAATTATAGACCCAAATGAGGGGGAAACCTCATTTGGGTCTATAATTCTTTGGATCACAACTCCAGTTTTATTTAGTATTTCTTCCAACGTTGCAAGATTTGGCTACATTGAGCCAAATGTGGCTACTTTTTTTTGTTTGACGTAGAAATTATCATTTGGTGCATTGGCTACTTCTTGGGCTACATATTATTTATAAATATATTAGTTGAATAAAAATGCACTTTAAAATGGTGTTTCGTCGCTTTTTATTAATTAGAGACCCAAATAAAACAAATATTTGTGTTTTTCAAATAAATTTTTGTTAGTCTCTTTTATAATAAATGAATTTATCTATTTCTAAGTAAAAATTGAAAGTTTCTATAGAAGTAATTTTTTAAAATATCCTTTTTCGTGATAAAGATTTAATACTTATTATTATAATCTAGACGTGTTAATCCTTAAATATACTTGTATATTGGGCCACAACTACTGTATATATTATATATACTTGTGGCCCAAAACTCCTTGACTTCTTCCAATGCGGCCCAGAGAAACAAAAAGGTTGGACACCCCTGGTTTAGATGGTATTTTTCATTATTAAATATTTCTCTTTTTGTGCTTTGCTCAGAATCTTTACATGCTATTAAAATTTGCTACTCGTGACACTCTTGGCAAGTGTGTCATGCGTTTGTTTTTACTTTTCTCCCCGTGGGCACAAAGAGCAGGAAAGCGGTACTGTATCGTGGGTTAGGCCAGAGGTCAGGAGTACAATGGAGCGGTTTAGTGGTGAGGGACGGACAACTTCGAAAAATTTCTGGTATTTTCGACCCGTCCGGATTTGTTTCCTATTCCCTAGGGTAAACAGATGCCTTAACCGCCTCGGCCGTCCAGCCGGTAGTGTATCATCACATTACCGGTTACTGACTCTTGATCTAATCGTTGGGTTTTAATCAATTTATTGATGTTGATGAAACCTGAAGTAAACCAAAAGTGAATACATAAATGTCTTAACAATGATTAATTAGATATATATGGATGGATTGATAGGGGCGACAACGCAACACATCTAAGGCGATCTGCCACAATGGGTGTCTACCAGGAGGACTTTTATTTTTACCGGGATGGAAAAATGGACCGTATTTATGTTATAGACGTGAAAAACCAGAATATGCGCGAGACCAATCCGTTGGCGAGGCGCAAACCCGTGACCTACTACTTTGCCACTGGGGGGCTATAGTAAAAGTCGAATATCCAAAACCAACTTCAGAAAATATGAAGTTTTTACGTAATAATGGTTGATGACAATATTAAATTACTATCGAGCTATCTCATTTTTACTAATTTTAGGCTATTATTATTACCAGGCACGTTCAGTAAAAAACCGGAAAAGTGCTATTAAAAGTCGAGAGAATGAGCATTTGTGTAGTAATTTTGACACACGAAACTTCCAAGTGTAAGGCAATAGAAACTACGACTGGCAACAAATAAATGTGCGAAAACATATGATACCGGATTGATATTCGTACACTTGTGTGCAACTCATCTAGTCGTCTTCTTACGTAAAATACCTGCATGTACCAATGGATGTCGATTGGTTTTTGTCAAAATCGGACAAGCTTTGGATATTGGACTAGGACAAGCTTTGGGCTCCACATGTCTGTTGTATTGTATGGCATGTTCCTCAATTCTGAATGCATGGATAAATAGAAGGGAAGTCTTCTGTGAGTTTTGCTGTGCATATCATTTGATGCAAACAGAACAATCATTCAACAAATTTTTTTATCTGATATCTTTCCTGAAGAAAGTGCTAAACAACTATTGAGTATGCAAAACAGTATATCATCCATATGCAATCAGTGTCCTATGGAGGAGGTTTACTTGTTCCTGATCCTCTTGCTAATGTTCCCAGTAGTAGTGACAATAAACTTTCAGAAATCACTAAAGATATGTTTTATTTTTCTACTTCAGAAAATCCTGCATATCAGTCAATGGTTTCTCAAGTGAACCATACAAAATCACACAGTATGAACTGAATGATCATCTTATAAGGAACCTGAAACTGCCAAAGTGTAAAGTGGAACTATTAGCCTATTAGCTTTTTGACTGTAGCAATGAAACCTTTTGGTCAATATACTGTGTGCACATGATTTTTGTAACCATGAAAAAAATCTTGTATTTTCCACATTTACAATGACATGTGATTCTGCACAAATGTTGAAAGTTTGATGCAGACACTATACATATGCAGATCCATGCAAATCAGATGAATGGAAAATTTTGTAGACTTTTCCAAGACAAGTCTAAAGTCAGTACTTTTATATAATGGTAATATAAATCTTTCCATCCTAGTTGCATATGCAGCCCACCCTAAGGAAATTTATATCTTTACATTTGAAATGGATTCTAAGCAGCATAAACTACAGAAGATGTGAATGGTTGATTTTCAGTAATTTGAGTCATTACATTATTATTTAATTGGTCTTGCATAACAGGGATACCAAATAATGTTGCTTTACATGTGAGTACAACAGCCAAGCTAAGTGTGTCCATTACAAGCAAAGGCAATCTTTTGTTTGTAAGGAACACATCTACCTTAATCTCACAAAAAGTTTTTGAGTACTATTAGTGAATTCCACTAAAGTTGTTGGTTGTTCCATTATACATAAAGCAGGAGTCATGAAAGCTTTTTTAAAAGCAATAAACAAGATAGACTTGCATTTCAATACTGCATTTGTGTGAAATGTTCCCAAGGCTACGTACCAAGATCAGACTGGGAGTGATCTTTGGTCCATTGATATGCCAGTTCTTCAAAGATCAGCAATTTGAGTCTATTTTTATAGCAGTCTTTTTAGAATGTTACAATTGTTCTTAGAAAAGAAAAGATCTGACAATTGTAATACCCCGTTAGCACCGAGCATTTCAATCTAGATTGTGACCAAGGTCAGCGACTATGCCTTGGTGCAACCTCTCTCGACCGTTTCAATCTCGACTGAAACAAGGTTCAATCGCAATCAACTCAAGAGAGTTCTTGAAACTAGATCCAATCATAAGAGAGATCCCACAATCCTATGCGTGTGAGAAAATACAAGATGGCTGCAGAACCCATGTTGGACTTTCAACAGAGAAGTAAAAAAAGACAACTGGAGAGACAATGACATCTGTCTATTATTAATTTAAATATATGGCAAGAAAAAGTATTTATTTCTAACCAAAACTTCCATTTTGTTTGTTGGTGTTTGTGACTTATCGTGTAGTTATGTCAGTTTTATCATCGCATGTAATATCTGGGTTCTTCTCAAGCAGACTGCCTGTGTGATCAGCTCAACGTTCATTTGGCGACAGTTACAATCCAGATTGTAGGTAAATTGAGATCGAAGTGAGTCTTGGATTGTGTGTAAACATAGTATAAGGAACTTGTATTTATACATTCTTATGATAAACTCTGGTGACACTTAAAGCTTGCATTTTCTTGCACTCATAAATCAATAAATTTCTTCCCTGAAAATTGTGGTGTCATGAGTGATGAACATAGGGAGAAGTTATATGATAAATTAAGTTTTTATATCTACAAAATATTCATCTTAAAAGTTTTATACAATCAGTTTATTTAATTATATGTGAAAATAATCTAAATTTATTTCATAATGTTATATTTTTCTTTATAAATAATTAATTTTCAAATATGTTCCATATATTTAATGATCCATTTTTCCAATTGTTCTAAACAGCTGATGATAATTTAAACTGTTGATCAGGAAACTTTCCAAATAAATTATATGTATTTTATATTGTCAATGTGTGTTACAAAATATGAACTTTTAGATTTATAAAAGTATCATTTATTTATATTAAAGTTTTAATCATATTTTAACACCATAAACTGATTTTTACTTTAGTTTTCATTAATATATGTGGTGTATGTCTATCTTATTTTGTTTAAGTTCATTTCTTAGGTAAATCTGTAATATAAAAACAAAAATTACATTTAAGCATTTACATATAAAAAACACATTTAATTGCATAAAAGAAGTACAATGTTAAACAAGATAATAATAAATGAAAATTTTGACTGGGCTAGAATGAGGTTAGATTATTATTTTCACTTCATAATACTAAAACCTTATTTTTGGTAGAATCTGTATTGATTAAATTGTATAATTCTTGTAACACCAATGCTTTGTGAAGTTTGGAATTATGTAATAAACTAGACTTTTTTCATCTGTAAAATATTTATCTTCAAAATTATTATAAGATCAATTATATTTAACTGTATATAAAAATTTAATTTGTTTTGTAAATATTATATTTTTTATACATAATCCAAATTTTGAATACATTTTATGTTTCATTTTTCAGCAGTATGTGTGACTGTAGATTAGACTAAAATGTTTTCATTTTAAATANGACACTGCTTTACACTCGAGCACCGCTGTGAAATGGGAAAATGAAACAAAATGCTTGAGAAGCAACAGGTAGATTCTAAATGTTCTTTCCAGCTGCACCAAAACAAAGACATTTTGAACATATACTATAGCAAAATAAAGTTAATAATTTTTTATTAATTTATGTAATGTTGGTTTCTATCTTTTACAGTTGGTGATTCATTGTTAAGCTAAATGCTCTTAAAATGATTCTCTTCCCTTAAAAAGATATTTTTCTATTAGTTTAATATATTCTGGATTTATAAGGATTTTGATGAATCTAAATATAGAATAAATATGAAGAATTAAAAAATTTAAACTTGTTTTAATATAGAAATGTGAATATCTAATATACTGGAAAAAATGAAATTCCAGTGATGATCAGATTATATTCATTTCTAATATTAAAAAAATGATGATAATTAGTAATCAATTGATAAATATTTATTTATATTTATATATAAAAACTATACATTTTAAGATATGTGATCTAATGTGAAACAATTTGTAAAAATACATATTTACAATACAATTCTGCTTTGTTTATTTATAACTATAGTTCTGTGTGCCTTGATCCACTGAGACGAGGACCTTTTGTTGTTTTCTTTTTTACTTTTTTCTCGGGTGACTTTGTTTTAATCTCCTTTGCTGTTATTTTCTAAATAAAAATAAAACATATGAGTGATTATTTTTCATATTTTTGTGTTGCATTTATTTAATAATTCAAAACACAGAATAAAATTTTCTTGTTAATTTTGAAAATAATTATAATATTAATATACTACTATGATATACTTTTAATTGCTTAAACTCACTATAACATTTAAATAACAATTAGTTAATTTGAAATAATATAACGTCTGTATAAAAAATTTATTAAGGGAAAAACAAATATCCATTCTTCATATAATAAAAAAATTTAATATACAAAGAAATTGGATTTTATTTATAGCTCTTGTCTCTGAATGATTACAGGCCACTGACCTCAATTTTTGCTTATTGCAAAAGAACCTTATCTTTCATCGGATTAATCATAAATAAGAAACAGGGTTTAGATTAAGTCTATTCACCATATTAAAAATCATAAATATCCTATTCAAGTTTGAATCCGAATAAGCAAGAAAGTCAAATTCCTTACATATGATAATAGTGTTCAACACTGTAAGAATGGTAAAATTCATATCAAAATTAAGAACACATTCTAATATAATATATTTTAAAACAATTATTTAATTAACATGTAAACTATTATTATTTATTTGAAAAAGAATTTTTGTATTATGTAAAGTACTCATGAATTTTTAATAAATTTTTCTTCACTCATGAATGCTTTAACATATGCTTTGCAGATGAGATTGTAAGCCTTTGTGGCATTATACCCACGTTTGAAGTGATAGAACAGCATGTGAACGTGTTCTTTTGAAAGTTTCTTATTGTCAGACATTGCTGATGCATCTATTTCCATGAAAAATGTGAAGAAGTGTTCTTTGGTTTGCTATTTAAATACCTATATCAAACATTCTAGAACATTTTTTCCAGTAGTTTCTAGGAAAAATCAAAATATCAATTTCATCTTTACAACCTGTTATACTGTAGTAATTATACTATAAGTAATTAATGATATTTATTATTATACTAATTAAAAATAATTCCTCTACTAATTTAAGAATAATTAATTTTAGCAAATATATACAGTATATACATACACTTCATTCTATTTCTTTTGTTCTTTACATTATTATGTCTTACATACTAGAAAATAATTTATTATTCAATCCAATATAAACAATATAGACATTTCTTATATAGGCAGAATAAACTGAACTTCTGGAACAGGTTTTTTTTTTTTTACATAACACACAAAATTCTTATATCTTACCATCTTCAGAAAAGCTCCTTCTATAGCTACATACTTCTATTAGTATCCATGGAACCCATAAAAGTAGCATTGGAAGCAATTTTTTTAAAATGTATATGGGGCCCTTTGTCACTGTGGCTTTACGACTTCACCTCTACTGCTGATTAGAACCTGTTACCCTTCAACTTTTGTTTTATGGGATAGATCTGTGAGAGCAAGATCAGGGAAATAAGGAGTTGGGAAACAATGTAATGCCCCTTCTAAGTCAGATATTTGTTTCCAAAAATGACCAATGTGTCCAGGGCAATGTCAGAATGAAGAGCCAAACTCCTTTCATCATACAATTTCACACAAATGGCAGAGAATTTCAACTCACTTTTCTTTTTTTTTAATTAAAGAGTTTTATAAATTTTTCATTTGAAAAAATTTCAATAAAAAATTTTGTAAATTTTTGCTTTTAGAGAAGCAAAAATTTCTTCTCTAATATACATGAAATTTTTACAAATAAAAACAATAAAATATGTAGCATTTTTGCTACTCAGTAATTGAACAAATCTGTAGTTCATTTGCCATATTAAAAATCTGAACCTTTCATACTACAATTTAATATAATGATTTTACTCCAATAGATTTAAATAAGAATATTAACTTAATATAATCCTTAAATAACAAAGACAAACAGTGAGCAAACTTGATATTTGTTTAATAGAAAATATCTTTATTTCATATACAGAGCAAACTCATATACTGTATACTGGGTATTAATTAATTAATAAGGTGTGTTTAAAGTATCTCATTGTCTATACATATACCAGATGTTCACTTTAACATTTATTCAAGTGCAAAAGAGAACTTAACAACAGAACTTATGCACTATAAACTATGCAAATACTCATGCAGTATCTTTCCAATATCACATGAGTATTTGCATAGTTTGTAATGCATAAGTTCTGTTGTTGCATAAGTGCATAAGTTAACAATAAAATAAATTAATTCATTCAAAAAAGAACACATTAAATCATGTGAAAGTTTAATATGACAATACAGTATGTAGTTTCCAAACATAAGAACAAATACAAATTTAAACTGCAATCTTAAACTGTTTGGCCACACATGTTGCCAATGTCCTTATAAAAGAGCCATCATTATGCAGTCTGCTAATTGGTAGAGCATTGTGACACTGCTTTACACTCNTAAAAAAAGTGAACATAACTGTGTGAAATTTATCTAGTCTAGTTTAAAGATAAGGGAAAAAACCTAAACCCATGAAACTTAAAGTTCTGCAAATCTTTTGTAAAGGTTATGAGCAATTATTTATTGTGACATTGTCACAATGTTGGGCTGCAATTTCTTGTCACAATGCTCTCCATTTTAGTAGTCTTGTCCCTGTAGATCATATTTTTCTTATTAACAATACAGTCATGCCAGCCATCTACCCAACCCTGTTCAGGAGAAACTTTTTGAATTAAAATAGTATGACTTCTGGTCCAAACCAGAAGTTCATACATAGTTAATCAGGTCCTCCTGCCTCTAAGCTTTCCATATTTGACTTGACTTTCATCTATATAACTCTGTTCTCAAGATTAATGAAAGACATAGATGGATGCCTGCAGAAACTTATAGGTCTGCAATTTTTGAAAATTGCAGCCCAATTAATAGTAAGACCAGATACGGATCTAGGATTCTCCAAAGTAATAAGCTGATATCTTTCTGTCAGGTCAACTAGTTGATTTTAAGGAATATTAAATACACAGAGTAAAACCTCATTAAGTTTAAGGACTAAAAAAAAATTCTGACTTAAAATTTTTCTGTGGCCATAAATTTTCCATTATCAAGACATTTCTTATGAATTTTTTCACAGAATGATTACAAAATTCTATACAATATAAGCACTTTTGAATGCATTGTCAACATATCCTCTTGTATCCTAATCAGAATTCCAGTAACAGTAAAAGATATCAACATGGCATAGTGTTTGTTCTGTCACAACTAGGTGCATAGACACTGGGCATCTTTGACATCACTCTTTATTCAGGAATATCTTGTGAGCTGATATGCATTTTGGGCATAAGCCCTCTTCTGTCAGCTTTACTTTTGAGATATCTTATAAGGAGGTGCTAACAAATATACATCTTACTTAAAAACAACATTATTTACAGTTAAAATTTCCTGGCAATACCCTCAACAGCACTTAGCTCATACTTGTGATGTCCTGGTAAACATAAGCTGTATGAAGTTCTAACCAGATTTCCACATTAACATTTGTGCATGTTTCATTTAAAAGTATGATTGAAAATAAATAACAGTGAATCTCTAGAGATAGTATTTTAAATCATGTAGTAATAAAAATGAAAGAATAACAGATTTGGTTCATTCTGATGTGTAATTTATATTTGGTTAATCTATTTAGCACTATATTATAAATAGATTATTAAGGCTTCCAGTTTTTTCTTATCATTATAAACATCTTGTAAAACTGGATGAAGTTAAATCTAGTTTTATAATTAACACACCAATACCAAAATCCAGCAAAACACACTTCAATAGACAAATTAATGCTTTTAATCACCTTAAATGGTCATTAATTTAATTAAACCAAGGGAAAAAGCAATTTCTTTATATTAATATAAGTATCAGTTCAAGAATATTGTCCATGTCTCTATGTCATTTTAATTAATGGCCATCAATTTTCTGGTCACCTTTTGTATTTCTCATTTTTCAGAATGTTTAAGATGGCAAATTCCCACATTGGTTGTATGATGTTATATATCTATTAAAGTGTAAGTTTTTTGCATTTTTTGGTGTTGGAGTGTTAATATTAATTGTTGTACTTAAATTTTCTGTTATTTTTCTTTTAATGAATTTTTTATTGATTATTGTGTTGAAATATTCATTTTTTAAAGATTTTTTCCTTTTTACCCAATTGCTATTTCTTTCTTTCTTTCTGAATTTCTGAAATTAAATCTGTATTTGACAGTAAAAATTATTCTACTTTCTTACCTCTATTTCTTTTTTGTATGGATTTACAAAATTTGGATCCTTTTCTGTGAGATTAAATTCTTGAGCAACCTAAAAAACATTAAAACAAATAAAAGTTTTACTAAAATATAAATTTTTGTCTATAATATTGTATCTTCTATTACCAGGACTTATTATACTGGCATTATAGAAAATATTACAAAGTTTTACAGAAAAACATGTGATACGATATTATAGACGAAAATTTATATTTTAGTAAGTAAAAAGGACATTGAGGCATTTTAATTAAATAAAAGTTTTATTTTATTAATATTTTCAAATAAAATTTTCATTACTGAAAAATTATCAATTAAAACTGAAAAAATTAAATAAATTCTGAGTAATAAAAATATATAATGTATATATTTCTTAAATATTGAATTAATTCAATATTTGAAAAATATTCTGAAAACTTTTGTGACAATGCACATAATAATGTATACAACAGAAATATTTATGTGCAAAGTACAGTTAAATTATCATGTACATAATTTAGAATGCTCATATTCCAGTCAAATCTCAAAATTATAAAATAACTATATTTTCTTGGAATGAAAATCTTAAAATTTTAATTATCTTATATATCAATACGTATAAGCAATAATAAAAGTACTAGCTTGATTTGAAGATTACTTAGTAAGCAACTTAACATGAAGTAAACGGACATTAAATTTATTTCATGTTAATTTGCTAACATGTGAAAACATTCCTTACTAAAACAGCTGTAGGATGGCACATTCCTTATTAAAAAGTAAGGAATGTGTTCTGATTATTCTATCCAAATTTTCTGTTGATTTAGATCCTAGAAGTTTCATATAACCAAGTGAGATTCACCAATACTGTATTTTAACAGAATGAAACATCTCTGAGATCTTTGTATACTGCCATAATTTTGTCACCTCTGAAATACATCCAGCTATGTTTTTTACATGGATTTTTTTTTCATTATTTTGATTTAACATGGTCTAAAATATTCAATTCTCTTTTTTATATGATTTGTTTTGATCTAACATGTTTTAATTTTAGTGAAGATTTTAGTGAAGTTCTTTCCCAACTCCGTCTCGTTTAGTTAATTTCCGTGTGTATCACGATTCAATGTAGTGATCCAGGTTCGATGGAAAGCACACCTCCACACTCAAATTGATAATATTTACAGTTTATTTACAGATTTGTACTAGCTTGGTTTCTGGGAACTTTTAAACTTTGAAGAGGACTCAGTCAGCTCGTGGAGTTAGCTCAACTGCACAGTCCGTCCAGTCTCCACACTAACCCATCCCTGAGATGTTTACCAGAGGAGAACACTCTCTCTACGCTCAGCGGGATTCCTAAGTGCCTGAGACTACCGTGTACCAGTCTCTTGCCCTTCTCTCTTACTCTCTCGTTTGCCCCACAATTTAAGGGTTTTTTGGACGGGGACGCCCGACCAATCACAATCCTTTCTTGCCCGAACTACTTACACTCGAGTCCACCATCATCTGATGAGAGTGAAACTTACATAAACATCCGCCACTTGTTTACATCCAGTTGTTTACCATATGGCAAATGGTCTAACGTCTGACTACAGGTGGGTCCAATTGACAAAGCCGGTGCTTCCTTTGTTTTCCCTTGTTTACAAGTCAATACCTTACAAGTGGTATTACCCAACCACACGTGGGTCCAATTGACAAGGTTGCACCTCTTTTGTTCCCACTCCGCTAAAAAGTCAATACTTTACAATTTTGCTTTTTTAAAAATCTCAATTTCATTTTAATTCTAAAAAAAATTTTTTTTTACTATCTTTCCTAGAAAATTGCTCTTTTTTAAAAACTTAGTGCATAAGTTCTCTTTATTCGAACTCATCTTCTTACTCTTTCATTTTAAGTTTGAATTTGGTATTCATGTCATTTCTTGATAATGATATTTAATGTTCAATCTTACTTAAACATGTCATACCATTCAATTTTATATTTGAATTTTAAAATCCAGCTTGTTTTGAATTGAAAAAAGCCTGAAGAAGAGCCTAGAAGAGGTTACGAAAACATTTGTCATTCAAGAGTTAATCGTAATTCACACTGGTTAATGGCCAATGTGAGTCTTATTTTAAACTTCTTAGAATTTCGACTTACGGCTGCTACACATACCCAAGTAAATTTTAAGATTTTGCTATTTTATATGACTTATTTGAACATGAGTAGCAAAAATGAGTGCATCTAGATGGCAAGATAAGTAGGTAAACAAATATATAACATGAAACATGAACACATGAAATGAACTATTATTGGTTTGCTAACTTAGTTGCTCTAGCTTGCCTAATCACTCTTTCATTCTGACTTTATCTTCAAATTGAAACAGTTAGAAAAATTTAATTCAAAGTTTAATAATTTGTTTGTACAATTACATTTCTTTAAATTTCTTTCAATTCAAATAGTTTTTGTATGCCAATTGGTGCTAAAAGCTAGAGGTATCTTGGGACTTAATCAAAAAAGTCAAATTTTAAAACAAAATTAAAATAAAATTTATGCAAATAATATAAATTTATGAAATTTTGTCAATAAGAAAGTTACGTGTGTTCTTCCCTTGGTTTATTAACTAAAATTGAAATATTTTGTTTAAACACATTCTATTATATTAATTTGTTTATCATATTATTTTTATTGGTTTTAGTATCTTCATTTTACATAGTTTTTTATATAAATTTTCTAGCAATGTATCCACTATATAAAAGCAGCATTGGTGAACGTCAAACTTATAAATTCAAAAATACATTTCTCTTATTTAGCTTAGTATATATAATCAAAAGATTTATATTATACAATAGTCTCATTAGTTTGAGGCACTACCATTCTTAAGCTAAAGTATATATAATCAACCAAAATGCATAAAAATTACATATTTAAGTAATTAAAATCAAGTGTATGATGAGATACCATACACTGAAATTGTAAGCACACTAAATGGTCTAACATCAGCTTTCAATTTATTGCATTTGTGAAATGATATGGTTGCCAGATACTTCCAGATATGATTACCACTTACTCTGCATTGTACAAGACATCATGCATTTTAAGTGTAATATATTATTATTATTATTATTATGTTGAGTTTAGTGAGTTATATTCGATTGACACTGGTGGCGGTGTACTATGCCGGACCAGGGTCAAGGCATAGCAACCAAGAACAAAAATTAAGTAAGTGTGTCAGTGTCTGTATTCAGGAATTTCCTAACAATATGGCATGTATTCAATACAGTGGCCTTCTGTAGTGTGATGTATGTATTTCTATTCAATTGTAATGTTCCCAGACTTTTGTGTAGTGTGTGTGGTATGACACCTGTACAGGAGAGAACAACAGATACTGGTACAATAAGCACCCTATCCATTTTCCACTGGGCGTGTACTTGCTGATTTTTTCACTGCACGTGTACATTATGAGTGTTTGGAATGGCTATGTCTATAATGTATGTGGTTTTATTGTGTTCGTCAATGAGTGTGATGTCTGATCTGTTGTGGTTTGTTGTATCTGTGATTATGGCTGTTGTAGTACATTTTGTTTTCGAATAATGTCTGTTGAACATATTTGTAGTATAGTTCATGGATGTCTAATAATTTGTTTCTTTGCAAGCTCTTGATGTATTTCCTACTTAATTGTGTCTATGTAAATAATCTGTCTGTGCCAAGAGCTTGCAACCAGAAGTAATGTGTTGTATGGTTTATGATCTGACATTTTCTGCATTTGTTTGTGATTGTTGTATCTTTCAGTATGTGTTTCCTGTTGTTTTTAGTATTTATGACCTGATCCTGTATGGCAATCATGAATCCTTCTGTCTCCCCAAAGAGGCATCCGTGAGCTAACCAGCTGTCAGGCACTGAATGTGTCCCCAGCCGGCTAACGCCGGCTGGGGACACATTCAGTGCCCATGGTCCTACATCCTATAAGGCACTCATAATAACCGGCGTTGTAATAACCGTTGATGGTTATATAGTTAGCTTCTATACGCTGGAAGAGGAGATCGGACTGGAGGTCCGGATAGCGTAACTGGCAATGTATCAGCACGGTAAGCAAAAGTTGTGGGTTCAAGTCCCGCTCCAAGCCGATTTTTTCTCCCNATTAATTCTTCTCCCATTTTTGAAAATTCCAGAATTTATTCTTAAATGTAATATCGCAGTCTTCCTCCGCGACCCTTTCACTTCTAAAAATTTGCATAACTGTGTTAAACTACTATAAAGTAGTGCAACATTTGATTGCTAATAACTCTGATCAACACTTTTAGTGAATGCTACAAATTTAAAATAGAGTTTGCATACTTTTAACGTAATTATTAACTAAATATTATTAAAATTTATGAGAAGACACTCCGACAGTTTCCTTGTCAGTTCACACCGGTGGCTGTGTACTATGCCAGACCAGAGTCAAGGCATAGCAACCGAAATAAAACAAAAATTAAATAAGTGTGTCAGTGTTTGTATTCAGGAATTTCCTAACAATATGGCATGTATTCAATATAGTGGTTTTCTGTAGTGTTATGTATGTATTTCTATTCAATTGTAATGTTCCCAGGCTTTTGTGTAGTGTGTGTGATATCACACCTGTACAGGACAGAAAAACAGGTATGATAAGCACCCTATCCATCCTCCATAGATGCCTTATTTCCTGGACGAGTTTTGTGTACTTGCTAATTTTTTCAGTGCATGTGTTTTGTACATTGTGAGTGTTTGGAATGGCTATGTCTATAATGTATGTGATTTTATTGTGTTTGTCAATGAGTGTAATGTCTGGTCTGTTGTGGTAAATTGTTTTATCTGTGATTATGGCTCTCTCATAGTACAGTTTGTGCGTGTTGTTTTCCAATACTGTTTGTGGTATATACTTGTAGTATGGTTCGTGGCTGTCTACCAATTTGTGTTTCTTTGCAAGCTCTTGGTGTATTATATTTGCTACTTGATTATGTCTGTGTAAATAATCTGTCTGTGCCAAGAGCTTGCAACCACAAGTGATGTATTGTATAATTTCTAGCATGATGTGACATTTTATGCATGTGTCATTTGTGAGTGTTGTATCTTTAAGTATGTGTT